CATTAAAATGAAAAGAGAACCAACTATATGGGAAAACATGTTTGCCAATGATACCTTACACAAGGGGTTCATCTCCAAAATATATATAGAACTCACATGACTCCACTCCACAAAAACAAACAATCCAATAAAAGAATGGGCAAAAGACTTAAACAAATCTTCTGGCCCAGATGGAGGCATAGGTAGACACACTGTGCCTCCTTCCACAACCAAACTAAGGACAACAACAATTTAGGAATAAGATAACAACCAGAACTGACAGAAAATTTAACTGTATGGAAGTCCGACAACCAAAGAGTTAAAATAGACACATTCATCCAGACCGGTAGGACAGGGGGAGTTAGGCAGCTGGGAGGAGAAGGGTTGTTGCAAAAAAAAAAAAAAGCGGTAGCACTAGGCGTGCAAGACAGCAGCAGGTGGACCCCGGGCGTGGGGTGGCAGTGGGCAGACCCGGTGAGGGGTACAGGGAGTCTGGCTGACCCAGCTATTCCACATTCCAGTGCAGATAAACCAGGTGAAACTGGGGAGTGAGACAGACCGCACAACCCAAGGTCCCAGTGAATGGAAATGAAGCCTCAGAGCACTGATTGAAAACACCCGTGGGGGTTGAGGCACAGGGAGAGACTCCCAGCCTCACAGGAGAATTCACTGGAGAGACTCACAGGGTCCTGGAAAGTACACAAGGCCACGCACCTGGGAATCAGCACCAGAAAGGCCGAGTTTGCTTGTGGGAAGTGGCAGAAGGGACACGAACCCAGCAGAGAGCAGAGAAAATGTCATTGTTCCCACTCAGACTCTGCCCTCATGTACAACATCACAACCCGGTGACTGGGTTGCCCTGCCCTGGTGAACAACTAAGGCTCCACCCCTCATATGTAAAAGGTGCAACCAGACCCAAAAAAATGGTGCAAATGGAAGAACAGATCAAAGCCTCAGAACAAATACAATTAAGCTATCAAGAGAGAGCCAACCTATCAGAGCACTAGTTCAGAGCACTAGTGATCAGGATGCTCACAGAATTGGTTGAATTTGGTTGCAAATTCGATTAAAAGAAGGCTATGCTAAGTGAAATAAAGGAAAATACACAGGGAACCAATAGTGATGGGAAGAAAACTGGGACTCAAATCAATGGAGTGGACCAGAAGGAAGAAAGAAACAACCAAACATAAAAGAAGGAAGAAACAAGAATTCTAGAAAATGAGCGGAGGCTTAGGACATCTTTAAACATTCCAACATCTGAATTACAGGGGTACCAGAAGGAGAAGAGGAAGAGCAACAAGTGGAAAAGTTATTTGAACAAATAATAAAGGAGAACTTCCCCAATCTGGCAAAGGAAATAGACTTCCAGGAAGTCCAGGAAGCTCAGAGAGTCCCGAAGAAGTTGGACCCAAGAAGGAACACACCAAGGCACATCATAATTACAGTAGTGAAGATTAAAATGAAGGAGAGAATCCTGGAAACAGCAAGAGATAAGGAGACAGTAACCTACAAAGGAATTCCCATCAGACTATCAGCTGATTTCTCAAAAGAGACCTTGCAGGCAAGAAGGGGCTGGAAAGAAATATTTCAAGTCATGAAAGACAAGGAACTACATCCAAGATTGCTCTATCCAGCAAAGCTTTGATTTAGAATGGAAGGGCAGATACAGTGCTTCTCAGATAAGGTCAGATAAGTTAAATGAGTTCATCATCACCAAGCCCTTATTATTTGAAATCTTAAAGGGATTTATTTATCTAAGAAAAAGGGGATAAAAAACATGTATAGTAAAATGTCAGCAAACTCACAATTTCTAACAACCACACCTAAAACAAAGAAAAAACAACGTAAGCAAACAACTAGAACAGGAACAGAACCACAGAAATGGAGGTCACATGGAGGGTTAGGAACAGGGGAGTGGGGGGGGAAGGTACAGAGAATAAGTAGCATAGATGGTAAATAGAAAATAGACAGAGGGAGGGCAAGAATGGTATGGGAATTGTAGAAGCTAAAAAACTTATGACACATAGACATGAACTAAAGGGGGGGAATGTGGGTGGAAGAGGGTGTGCAGGGTAGAGGGGAATGAAGGGGGAAAATGGGACAATGGTAATAGCATAATCAATAAAATATATTAACAAAAAAGACTTGAACAGACAATTCTCCAAGGAGGACATACAGAAGGCCCCGGACATATGAAGAGATGCTCAGCATCACTAGCCATCAGGAGATGCAAATTAAAACCACAATGTGATACCACTTTGCACTGGTGAGAATGGCCATCATAAACAAACAAACAAACAAACAAACAAACAAACAAACAAACAAATAACAAGTATTGGAGAGGATGTGAACAAAAGGGAACCCTAATGCACTGTTGGTGGGAATGCAGACGGTGCAGCCACTGTGGAAAACAGTATGGAATTTCCTCAGAAAACTACAAATGGAACTGCCTTTTGACCTGGCAATTCCACTGCTGGGATTATATCCTAAGAATCCTGAAACACCAATCCAAAAGATCCTATGCACCCCGATGTTCATAGAAGCACCACTTATACAATAGCCAAGTGCTGGAAGCAATGTAAGTGTCCATCAGTAAATGAATGGATCAAAAACTCTGGTACATTTACACAATGGAGTTCTATGCAGCAGAAAGAAAGAAGGAGCTCCGACCCTTTGCAACAGCATGGATGGAACTGGAGAGCATTATGCTAAGCGAAATAAGCCAGGTGCTAAAAGAAAATACCATATGATCTCAACTCATCAACAAAACAAACAAGCCAAGAAAATATAACCAGAGACATTGAAATTAAGAACAATCTGACAGAAACCAGAGGAAAGGTGGGAGGGGATAATGGAGTAGAAGTGGGGAGGGTTTTCAGGAACACCTATAAAGGACACATGGACAAAACTAAGGGGAGGGGTGGGAGCAGGGGAGGGAGGTGGGGATGGCTGGGGAGGCTGTGGCGGGTAAATGCAGACCACTGTAGCTGAACAACAATAACGTAATTAAAAAAAAGAAAAGAAAAATTAAGAATGTCAGATTATCCCATCAAAAAGCATAAAAAGCAATGAAAAATGCTCAACAGTACTTGATGATAAAATTCCTTACTGAGCAAAGTGGGAGCAGAAGGAAATTCAGTTAAACTGATAAAAGGAATGTACAAAAATTCTAAACTAACATTGTAGTTGTGGTAAGAAATGAAATACTGTCTCCCAGAGGTCAAAAATAAGATAAAGATGTCTGTTCTCTTCACTTCCTCTCAACCCCGTTCTGAAGGTCCGAGCCAGTACAATAAAGAAGACAAACTAAATAGCAAAATAAAAAGGGACTGGTAGAAATCTAACTGTATATTTGAATGATATTTGTACTTGATCTACAAAAGAATGCATAAAATGAATAATGTCATTCTGTGTAGTTTCAGAGTATAAAATCAATTTCCAAAAATACAGTTCCTTAGACTTAGAGCAAAAATTGGAAAACGCAAACATGAAAAATACCATTTGAAATATCAAAAATATAAAATATAAATACATTTCAAAATCTCTACATCTTCTACCCAAATCATTGCTGGGAAAATAGAAACAAAAATAAATGACTGACAAGATATACCAAGTTTATGGATTGAACACTCAGTGTAGCGAAGATGCCAGCTTTCCCTAATTTATCTTTCACTAGAGAAGCTGTCCGTTTGCTTTCACCCATAGATGCATTACACAAGCCAAACAGTTTTTCCTGAAATTTCTGTTAATGAAAAGACCAGAATAATTAAAACAATCTGGGAGATGAAGAGCATAATTGATGAAAACACGGCAGAGTCCAAGACTTAGTGTACAGTAGTACTCATCAAGGCAAAGTGGTGGGGCTAAGAATAGAAAATTGGATAAATAGACTAAAAGAGAGGGTTGAAAAATGAACTGTCACTTCCAGAGACAATTGATTTTAATTTCAAAGTCTTTCCCCCTCATAATGCTAGACCAATTAAATGTCCATCTGCAAAAAAAGATCAACCCTTATTTTATAGCACACTAAAGCTTAATTTACATGGAGAATATTCCTAAATATAAATGTGAAAACTATATAAAGCTTCTAGAATAAAAGAGATGAAGACTTGCATTTCACAGACTGTAATTATTACTTCTTTCCATTAAGAAGATCTGAAAACATGCCCTGGCTGGGGTGGCTCAGTGGACTGAGTGCTGGCCTGCAAACCAAAAAGTCACTGGTTTGATGTCCAATCACAGTAAATGCCCAGGTTACAGGTCAGGTCCCAGGTGGGGGGCATGGGACAGACAACCACATATTGATGTTTTTGTGCCTCTGTTTCTCTATTCCTTTCCCTCTCTCTAAAAATAAGTAAATAAAATCTTAAAAAATAAAAAATTAAAAGAGAAGATCTGAAAATAAGTAGGAGTTTTGTATTGGTATGAAATTGCTTTCTCTATATTCTACCTCTAAGGAAATTGGTAAAAGCACTGAGGACAGTGAGTCCAGGTGCCCTACAGCTGGAGAAGAACAACACAGTTGTGAAAAGGGGGGAATCAGAATGAGCCCTGTGCTGTTGGAATTGGTGGTGGCAATAAGACTGTTCCTAAGACAGATACAGATAAACAGAAGATAGATGACTCCGTGGGTAGATACATATGGAGATAGATGGATACATTCATAGAAGGTATATACATCCTTGGATGCTAAGATAGCTACACGACTTAGAGGTATAAGCATAAGCATCACATTAATACAAAAAAAATTAGTAGCAATGGTATTCCAACAGCAATGAGCAGACATACTCCCCAAAGTGAAAGTCACCAGTTCCTGAGTGGTTTGTCAGGTAGCTGTAGAATGCACATGATACAATTACTATTTTGAAACAGTGCTCTGGTTATTTTCTAAATCACCTTCCAGCTAGGAATTATTTGTAATAAGAAATAGTTAATAAAATGTTTTAAGACATAATGAGACTCCTTTCACAAGGTAGGAAGAAATTGGATGACATTTGAAAATGTTATAATCGAGAGCTCACCTCCACAGTTCATTTGGGGATCCCATCTTCCATTGATGCAGACTGAGTGCTTCTGCTCTGACCTTCTTCGGCACGTGTAATTCACTTGCTCATTATGGTCATAGTCGATCCTATCTGACTGGAGTGGCTCAAATTCATTTGACCTTGGTAATTTACATGTCTTAATGTTACCTGTGTCTGTAAAATGAAGAAATTATCTTGAAAATACTAATCATGAGAATCTAAGCAACTAACACAAAAAATAGCTATAGAGTCCATAGTACAATGAAATTGGAATTTAGGTCTATAAATTCCACCAGCAAAGTTATTCCTGATCATGTTGCATGAGGTGGGCTATTATGTAGGAACACAGTCCCATGTCCAGTGCTGATATTTCAGAGAGAATAACCATCGTTAAGGCATTTGGCACTTTGGGAATAGCAAGAACACAGAGGTTCACTTTTTGCTTTATCTGCATAGAGAAGAGTCATCACATGACTAAATTTGGTCCCATTTGAAATCTGTGCAAATGTTCACATCCATTCTTTTCCTGATCTCAAACATTTATGCATTATTTTAAACCACAATCCTAAAGCATTAGAAGAAAACAATGATGTGTGCAAACAGAATATATAAAGTTACAAGTTTAATTATATTGTTTCAATAAAGTTAAGGTAAAATAAGAAGAAAAGTTGATCTAAGATGTAGAGTATAGAATGTGAATATTGAGGCATGTTTTGTGCATGATCACCAAAATTAAGGATAAGAAATTAGGTGGTTAAATCATAACCTATTTGCATACATGCTTTAGAATCTTTGAGAAGCTCTTTTATACACCAGATCATCCTATAATCCAGTGTTATATAATCCAATATTATAATGCTAGAATAATCCATTTTTGCTGGCTTCAGTATGTTACCTATAGATTAGTAAAGTTTTTATACAACTATGAATTTTAGACATTTCATGCATATGGCAAATTCTGTTTTGAACTAGATGTCAGTGTAGGTCTCAGGTAATATTTGCTAACAATTTGGTAATGATGTCAAGTGAGGATGAACAGAAGAAAGAAAATTCAAGTAATTGGCCAAAAACAGTAAGGATTTTGTAATGCAACCATGAAAAACAAATAAAGGGACTATTTTAAAACACAGTAGATTCTTGAGAATTAGCCTTATTTTCCCAGGACTTGTCCAGAGTGCTGAAAAAGGAAAGAACAATATTCCTCTTCAAGGGATGGTAACTGAAGGAAGATTTGTAGCTGAAAGGATGTGTGTGGTTCTTATACTAAGTCCTATGGTGACTGGTTTCTGAAAGAATTTCTTTATTAGGAAAAAAATAAGCATTCATTCTTGAGAAGAATGAAAAGTTAAGACTAACAGGAGGTATAAAATAAACATTGAGGGAGAAAATTTTAATCATACATCTATTTACAAGTAAAATTTAGCTTCATACTTATAAATAATGTTAATATTAGAACAGATTTACAAAATTCTGTCAATAGTTTCTATTTTTCATTTGTAGGCACCATTGAACTATAAACAACAAATATTTGGATTCATTATAATTTTGACCTGACACTCTCAAGAATATCTCCAAATTTTAAAAATATGGTGGCAAGGGCTTCACAGCAAAAATATTAAATTGCCTTACAGGGCCATATTAGAAGGGCATGCTCACCAATGCACTGAGGTGGTTGGGTCCATTTTCCCTTCAAACATGTAACTGATCTGGGCCCCACCAATGTGAACCCTCCTCTGCAGCTGAACGTCACGGACTCTCCATGGTGATAGGGATGCTCCTGGGAATAGACGGAGCCATGAACGATGTGAGGTATGACTTCACATGTGCTGTTCTCCTCTGTGAAAATGTCACAAGCATATGCTAATGAAGAACAACCTGCCAGTAACCAGAGGAAAAGGGGGAGGGGGACAATGGAGGAAGGAAGGGAAGGGTCAAGCCAAGGAACATGTATACAGGACCCATGACCAAAGACAATGGGGAGGGGAGGATTGAATGTGGGATGAGAAGGGTTGGTAGGGCAGGGGAAAGAAATGGAGGGTAATAGGGATAACTGTAATTGAACAACAATAAATATAAATAAAAAATAAAACTCCTGTAAACAAACAAAAAGTAAAAATAAATTACATGTTTCTATGAATATACACTATTGACTTACGTCTAAGTGTTAACATTTCTATACACACCGATACACTGGGGCAAGGATGTCCACTCCCCATCAACACACTGAGTTTTCCGAGAACCCTTCAGCAGAAACCTGGGGTTGCAGACGTACTCCACAACTTCACCGTGCTCATGTTCTTTTTTCAGCGTGTTTGTAGCTGTCCCATTGGGGAGCTGAGGATGTGGACCACACGGTTTCACTTCCGCTACGGTAGAAATGCAGTATGGTTACTGGTTAAATAGTCTAATTTACAAATTAAAATCCAATAAAATTCTTCTCAATTTTTTTACTAATTATCTAATCCATACGTGGCAAACACAAGGCCTGATGGCCAAATTCGGACCTCTAGCTTGTTTTATCTAGCCCAGCACCTGGTTGCTATCTGGTGGCAGCAGCAAGCTCCTTGCCCCTAGTTAAGGAGTAGTTACATCTATACAGTCATAAAATTAATTTCGACCCTTTGAAGGCAACCCTGAGGCTGATATGGCCACGGGTGAAAATAGTTTGACATCCCAATCTAATTTATTATAGCGGTCTTTGACAGAGGAGAAAGAGTGGAGTTTACACTAGATTCAGGTCTCCCAGTTCTGTTATTTATGCTGATTTAGCAACCTAGAAGTGTATTTAAGCCCAGGAAACATGTTTCATTTTTCTAGATAGTCTAAAAATATATGCAAATGAATAAGCAAATATACTAGTATAACTTATAATGATGTTCATATTCCTTAGAAACATCCTATCAAGACTTTTATCTTAAATATTTTTTATTTATTCAGCTTAGAGAGGGGAACAGAGGAAGGGACGGGGGAGAGAGATAGAAATGTGGATTTGTTATTCCATTCATTGGTGCATTCAGTGGATGCTTCTTGTATGTGCCCTGACCTGAGATTGCATCTGCAACCTTGCAGCATTGGAATGATGCACTAACCAAATGAGCTCCCTGGTCAGGGCCAAGACTTTTTGAAAAATACCATCATTGGAGCCAAGCATTTGATCAACCACTTTTAAGTCATATCTATGATGGAGTTGACTGTAAGATGCTTAAACATTGTTTAGACACACTCAGTGGAACCTGAAGTGAAGCCCGTGCTGGCAGAATGAGATGCAAAAATAGGACTAAAAAGAAGTAGCTCCAGCACCAGACACCGCTGAAGGTGAACTTCTTAAACAAGGACATCTGAGACACGTACTACCAACGCATGGTTTTCTGAAGTAAATCTCTGGCTTAGTGCCCTAGATTAGAGACACCCTGGAAACCAACAGAACACTAACAGATACACAATGGGAAAACCAAAATTCTAATTCTTGTTGGAGCAGTTGTCAGATAAACATTCACCTTTACATGTTGGAGGATCTGGTGACCACCCAAAGTTGTAACACTGAGTTGAATCTGGTCCAACAAGTTTCAGTCTTTGTCTGCAGGAGAATTTCAACACGTCTCCAATGAAATATTTCTCTTTCCGGGGCTGAGCAATTAAGTTTTGTTCTATATCAGGAACAACGCATTCTTTTTCTATAAAAACAATTTCATAATTATTATGAAAATAATTTAATGAGTATATACAAGTTTTCATTGCCAAAGTATATGTTATACATCATGCAGAAATAAGTTACTGGGTGTTGCATATATAGAGAGGCATCAAACAAATCCTCTCCCTCGAAAAACATTTACCCATTCAGTTTACACCTCCTTCGAATTCATATGGGAGTATCTGAACATCAATACATGTGTTCTGAAAATTTGTAAGATCAACTTGGTGATAGTGGATCTGATTTTATCACTGACATAAAATTTAATGTTACTTTTTTGTATTATCAAAACAAAACTATTCTCTTGCAAAAAAACAAAAAGAAAAACACTGATGCTACAATTTTAAATTGCATGCTTAAATAAAACCTGAAATTTTTGTTTAATAACATGGGAAATCAGAACACTCAGAGAGGTATTTCTGATATATCTAAGTAGAGTGATTTTGAAAATAATTTAATTAATAAATTCAACTGAAATATAATAAAACTGAAACATAAAAAAGATGAAGTAACATTCTCAAGGTCACATAGGTAGACAGATTCCAGCTGTCCTGAATATTTATACAATATAGAACTATCTATTCTTACCTAGGTATAGTTTATGTTGGCTATTAATAAATTATTAGTTTCTTTGATTCTGTGTAGAAATGTGTAAATTATCCCTTAGAATTTTAAAATTTATAAGATTTATGACTGCAGAGATTGTATAAATGCATTTTGGTTTGAATTATCCATCTCATTAGTTAATACTTAAAATTAATACGTGGAATTTAAAATTTGCAATCAGACAAATAAGAAAATTTATACTATTTGAAAATCACTTATTAACACATAATTATAAAAGTAGACATAACTTAATAATTTTTAGAAGTGATGTCAGCAAAACCCTCAATAAATTTGCTTTTCTTTTGTTTTTTCCTTTGATGTTGACCTTTGTAGTTTATTGAGAAGATCACACTTGAAAGGGAACCACTGGGACTCTTCTAAAATTTTATCCCAATACGATGTATAGCAATTCTTTTATTAGGGAGTATCCTCATTTACATATTCTGTGCTCATTTGGTATAAATTCTCTATCTCATCATATTGTAAAAAAATGCTGCCTTGAGGGGGAAAAAAGAGATCTTGGCTGTTGGCTATTTCCAGCTGTTTTATTTATAGAATGACTTAAGAAATGTGATTTTGGTCATTCTACAGATATAACAGCTGGAAATAGTCAATAGCCAAGGTGGAACTGAAGAACATTATGCTACCTGAAATAAGCTAGGCAGCAAGGGACAAATACCATATGATCTCACCTATAAGTGGAATCTAATCAACACAATAAACAAGCAAGAAAAATAAAAGCAGACATGGAAATTAAGAACAATCTGACAGTAACCAGAGGGGAGGTTGGAGGCAGTAGTGAAGGGAAGGGGAGGAAGGGTTTTCAGGAACAACTATAAAGGACACATTTATAAAAACCAAGGGGGGGTTGGAATCAAGGGAGGGAGGTGGGAATGGTTGGGGTTGTGGAGAGTGGTGAGGGGAAAATGCAGACAACTTTGTTTGATTTGTAATAAAAGAAAAAAAAGAAATGTGATTTAGGAAGGAGAATGAATGGGAATGCCCTAAATTACAGACATTTATATTCATTCAAAAGTCAAAATTATAAATCCTAGCACTGAGACTTCAATATGTTGGTGTGAATTTTTAACTCTGAAATGTACATGTAGTTAAGATTGCTGCTAGCACTGTTTGGCTTAATGGTTTATGATAACATTGCTTGGAAACTCCTCTCCAACCAGGAGACTTTCCAGGACATTTGAAATCAATTCCAGTGTCAGCTACTCAGTGTGCCAGTCCCTGCTACGTGGCCGAGGAAAGCCCTCTGAAAGGAACGCTAAGCTGCCATTTGTTTGCTCCGTCCTTGGAAGCCTTACGTCCTGCTGGCGAATTCCGACCGGTGTGTCCTCAGAGTCATGGGTTACTGCAAATTCTCAATAGAAAGCCATATTGGCCCCAGTGCTTTCTACCGCTGTCTCTGTCACCTGCAGGTCCGTTCCTTCACACTGTTCTGTCGTGCCTGATGGCCTTGGAAGCACATATTCCTGATTGGGCGTTCTTCCTGAAAGAAGGCCCTCAAAGCTATCTAAGCTTCTGGGTTCATACAACCTGGGTCTGCCTCTGATCCCAGAAAAGAGTGACAGCCCGATTACATTTTCATCGCAGATCTGTGATGTGCTTGGACTACAGGGCACGTTAGTGCACTGGGTTGGATGGGCTATTATCTTTGGACTTCAAAACCCCTGTCCTCCCAATTTGCATTGAATCAAAAGGAGACACCTCAGTTGTATTCACTGTGCATTAAAAGTAATTCCACATAATCCAATTTGTTAAAAATAAAACATTTTAAATGAATTTTATTATGATAATCCTGAAAAGTGACTTACTGTGACAGGAGGGTGTACCAGACCAGCCACTGTGACCACACACTATGAAGCTTGTGGTGTGTCCATCTCCATTTGTATATCCATCCTGGCACTCATAGTCCAACCTGTCATTGACCTTAAACCATGTGCTGCCACTTCTGGCTCTGGCATTCTCAAACACTGGCATATCACAAGATTCTAATGCACAATGGAATTGAAGAGTTCATGTCCAGTAGCATTTAACAGACACTCTAAAGGAGTCAGTCCCATCCCAAGGAAACACATCACATAAGAGCAATCTCAGAATACCAGTGATAAGTCACTGTCCTGATATTGTTACTCAGGATGAAAACAGGTGTTTCTACAAAGCAGTTTTACCATCACTTAATCATCTGAACAATTTAAGGTCATTTTTCTCAGTGCCATTGCTCTCACACATTTATTCCACCCTAGCAGGAAACTAGACCCTAACAGACCTGCTGGACTTTGGTTCTGGCAAAGCAGAGTAGCATTTGGTGAATGGAGGTAGGTGCCAAACTCAGTAACAGTTGGGCCATCAATGCCAGAAATGAAGTTAATTGGTTCAATGAAAAGATTAATTTTCAACAGTGACAGTGATTTTTAAACATTCTATAGAAATCTATTTTAGAACTTACTAATTTTTAAAACTCACATGCTAATTTAACTTTTTTCTAATATCCTCTTAATGACTGGATATTCTTCTATACATACAAAGATTGAATGTAGAAATAGTTCCACATTTATAACTAGCAAAACAAATCAAATTGTTGAACAAATAGTCTCCATTTTTACTAATACCTTACTGGATTGATGTTAATATAGGTTTAAATTGGTTTCCTCAAATTTTAAAATATATTAGGTAGCCAGCTAATATAAAATTTAAAAAGTAAATAAAACTATAATAATAAAAATAATAATGAAAACATTTTTCTTTCTCAATGAGAGTGCTGTAATAGGTAATTGACCAAAATTTAATATAGTATTAGTTTGATATAAAGGCAACCTTCATCATTTTTTCTTTGGCTAATTGAAAAAAATTAAAAATAATAAAAATTGATATTTTAAATAATCACTTCATGTGAATGAAAAGTATCATTACATGTCTTTGGGATAAATACTATAAAATGAGAAAAGTGTTCCTAGAATATTCTCATAAATATTGAGGAAGCATCAAGAATTTCTTAGTCTACACTGACTTGATGTTGATGTATGTTTTCATAAAAAATTTTTTTTCAGAAGAGGACCTGTTTTGCTGTATCACATGTAAGTTACACAGGTGACATTTTTCCAAAATTACTCACTGTGAACATATATTTTCAGATAAACACATAATTTTTATGTCTAGGAATGAATGCCCAGATGTAAAAGTCTGACCCCCTAAAAACAGGCCCAGGCCAAGGCCTCATCTAGAAATGAATGAGTTGACACCAGAACACACAGAAGGTCCCTCACCAGTTTGTAAATCACAGGAAGTTTTATGGTGGGAAAACCCTGAACTGAAAGATGGGCTATATCTACCTTCTAGTAGTTCATTGTAAGAGGCAAAACTTATGCACACTTTCTCAAAAACCTTTTATTTATCTTTTTAAATGGAACCACCTCAGCTTCTGCCAGCCCAAGGAGAAGAAATCAGGTAAAGTAACCATTTCTGCCACAGGCATCAGGGCAGTAATTCAACATCGTGAATGACTTACTAATGCACCTGGGGTGAGCGGACCATCCACGCTGCAGACACGTGATCGTTCCTGATGTCTGACCCTCTTCTGTTAAGTAACCTTGTTTGCACTTGTATTGTGTTTCTGTATGTAAGGGGTATGCCAGTTGAGATTCAGAAAAAAATCCATTCTCAATTTCTATATCCGATTTCAAACATGTCACTAAAGGGAAGAGAGCATGAGGGAAAGGTAAGCATAGGGTCCATACACATGATCATTAGGGTTCTAACAATATACAACAAAAACAACAAAAAGTGAAGGGTCTGTTCTAAATGAAAACTTGGAAAACTCTAATCATCCAAAATGTGGTGGCAAAGACTATAGGCTATGAGTTTCCAAAAATGTTAAATCAAGACATTGCCATCATCATTAAATCAACAAACAACAAGTGCTGGCGAGGTTGGTGAGAAAAGAGAACTCTAGTGCACTGTTGGTGGGAATGCAGACTGGTGCAGCCACTGTGGAAAACAGTGTGGAGTTTCCTCAAGGAACTAAAGATGGAACTGACTTTTGATCAAGTGATCCCTCTGCTGGGACCATACCCTAAGAATCCTGAATCACCAATTCAAATAACCTGTGTAACACAATGTTCACAGCGGGGTTATTCACAATAGCCAAGTGCTAGAAACAGCCTAAGTGCCCATCAGTAAATGAGTGGATCAAAAAACTGTGGTACATTTACACAATGGAATGTTACCCAGCAGAAAGAAGGAACTCTCACCCTTTGTGCACAGCATGGAGGAAACTGGAGAGCATCATGCTAAGTGAAATAAGCCAGGCTGTGAAAAAGAAACACCATATGATCTCACCTATAAGTGGAACCTAATCAACACAATAAACAAAAGCAAAATAGAATCAGAGACATGGAAATAAGGAAGAAACTGACAGTGACCAGAAGGGTGGGGGAGGCATACAACAGGGGGAAGAAGGGTGGGCGACAAGCAAAGGAACCAGAGTAGAGGATTCATGGACACAGAAAATGGCGGGGAGTGGACTGTGAGAATCAAGGGGTGAGGTTCGGTTAAGCAAAGAGAAAAAAAGGCGGGACAACTGTAACTAAGTAACAGTAATTTTTTAAAAAAAGATATTAGAAAGAGATCTCAGAACTAAGTAGGACTTACAGTATTTAGATAGCCTTATAAGAAATTACTGATGGCCAGAGGAAGGGGGTGGGGCTGGTTGGCATTGGGCAAAAGTGGCTATGGGCACATCTGCAATAGTATCACCAATAAAAATGAAGATAAAAAATAAATGTAAAATATAAATTATTAGGATCTGTCTGTGCACTGCATGTGAAATGCTACAGCATGCTCCTAGCATGTGTCTATTCCCAGGATGTGTTTTAATTATCGCTGAGAAGGAAGAGTCACCTGTTCTTGCCTCATGCAGAACCAAGGTCCCCACATGAGGGGACGGACATGCTAATGACCATGATGTGGTGGTCACTTCATACCGTGTGCACATGTCAACATAACAAGCTGCCACATGTGCCATTCCCATTAACACCGAACACAGAAAAACATATTTGAAAAAATGACAATGTTGGCAGACATAAATTGAAAACAAACACCACAGAAAAATGAACAGAATTAAAAGGTGGTTCATGGGAGAAATTTAATAAAATGAAGAAATGCATGGGGAGATTACAGAAGAGAGTTCCAGCCCCGCACAGTGAAGAAACTGAACCAACCCTGTGAAAACAACTCTGTGAGCTGTGCACATGCGCCCAGCGCCTGGCTCTGACTGCTGAGAGAGAAGGAGAATGCTGTGGGCTCTGTTCTCACAGTGGCTTTATTGGGGCGGGGGTGCAAATTCTCCGGATTACAACAAGGAAGAAAACACTCAAGCTGAAGACATCAGTCACACTGAACAGAAGGACAAACCCGGCATTCTCAAACAGGCTGACATCACTGAACTTAGAGTCCAGAGAACCCAGTGGGAAGAGCTACAGAGGGAGAGAGCCCCACACACCTGCAGGCTGACACATCACACTTCAGAGCAGGGCAGAGCCCCGCCACAACGGGCAGGGAGTAACCCCTGGAGGAAGGACCAGCAGGAAACCATCAGTTCAAAGATTTCCAGGGCACACTCAACACTGGGAGATTTTCACATCAGATCAGTCAAATTGGAAAGACGTCTTTAAACACTGCCCATTTACTAGAGGGGCCAGAAGAGGCCTTCTTCATCCACATTCTGAATAACCTGGTCCTAGTGGGCAGGCTGCCAAACCAGCCTTATCAGTTTAGAAACGAGCCTTCAGTGGGTCAAGTCAACCTGAATAACAAAACCAAGTACAAAACCACTGAGCCTGGAGGTCTCGGACCCCAAACCTCCACCAGGTGCAGGACTGGGGAGGCACTAACTCAGGGAGAGGAAGCTGTTGCTCCCAGGCCCTTCCACGCACCCAGTCCTGGATCTCTGTGCCCCTGGGGCCGGGGGGGCGGTGGGACCTGTCTGCCAGAGTCCGGACTCTCACCAAGCTGCCCTCATCCAGTGTCGTGGCCAAAATCCATGCCATTGTGGGGAGACAATAGGAGCAGCTAACATGCCATCCTGCTCTCCACTCTGTATTTAATTAGATGTTTCTTCTCTGTGGTCTTTGGGTGGTTTTCTAAATTAATGTCTACTAACAGGTGTCTCTATCATGCTATTGATATGTCAAGAAACTGGCATTTCCACTTATACACACTTGAAAAAGTAAAACCAAGAAAGTCCTTTGACAAAACAAGAAGCTGATATAAACATTCTTCCACAGTAATTATAGGTAAGTCTTAGAAGATGAGAAACAGCCTAGATCTTAGACCCATTTTCTTACCGACACGGATGCATTTGGGAGGAGGGAACCAGCCATTCTCCGTACACGTCATGGTAGTCTGCTGGGTTGGGAGACTGTAACCAGGAAGGCAAAAAACTCTTATAGATTCTCCCTGTAAATAGTTTTGTTCATATCTCAGAGAATATCCATACTCCAGATAACGGAAAACACATTTTCCTAAGAATCATAAAATAATAAAAAATCCCATCAATTTGGTCAAAATAATAAATTATAATATATCGTCATGACATCCAAAAATAACATGTCACTTAGGAACACTAAAGCTTCTACCAATGTTTTTTAAAAAAGTCAATATTAAATATAACTGTCTGTATTTCACAATGAGAATATGCAGAAATGGCACAGATGTCCCTGTAGAGTGCAGTTATCTGTCATGTTTTTAATGAAGAACCTCTCATAAAACAAACAACCTGCACGGGTCTTCCTGCTCACAGAACTCAGCCCTCCCCCTTATGCTGGTCACACACCTTCATAGTTCTCACTTGTTTAATTCCCCCCCTTCTCCGAAGTGTCCCCACGGGCACAGGGAGGAAGAGGCTTACTTACGGAGGCACGGCACTTCAGGCAACCAGCCACGTGGTGTGCAAGTGATGCGACTCCAGTTACCTTCCAAAGGAGTCACATAGTTGTCATCACAGGTATAGTACAATCGTTGTCCCACAGAAGCTGGGAAGTATCCTCTATATCTGTCTATCCAGTACAGGTCCCCATGCTTTACTTTTGGAAATTCACATGGCTTAACTTGCAAAACAAACAAACAAGCAAACAAAAAAGTGTAAATAATGTTTTACTTTAATAGAATCTAAAGTGATTAATGGTTCCTGCGATGAATTATATTCTCTAATTAACATAGTTATACTCATTGCATTAGGGTTTCTAGGACAGGAAAGGTTGTAAACTGAGATGATGTCAAGAACACGTGTTTCTGGTCATTTCACGACATGTGCACACGTGGAGTCTGTCTGTTTTACACCTGAAACAACACAGAGCTGCCTGTCAGTTCTGTCTAGGTGAGCACACAGACCCTCTCCTTATGGTGGTCATGCTCACTGAGGTCTGTGTCACTGTGATACCAGCATCCTCTCTAAGGGCATCACACTGTCACATTCCTGTGGACATTTGTCCTGAAGTGACACTGAAGCCATTGACCTCCTATTAGCATGATTTTGTTTCTCACTCATGGAGTGTCCAGCTGCAGCGTGGACACCTGGTATGTGAGCAAGAGGAACATGAAAATCAAGGCAGAAAGCTCTTGGAAGGAGGCCAAAGAAACCTCCCCAGAAATAAATGCCCTGCTGAACTGAGTGGCACTTTGTGACATGTGATGGTGTCAGAAAATCTAACTATGTCTCCCACTCTCCTCCCTGAGAGAAGGAGCCCACTGCCCCCACCTTTGAGTGTGGGTGGACTTAGGGACCCTCTTCTAAAGGTATGAATTGCTCAGAAGACAATGTGTGAGCAGGTCATAGACTGCATGGTGGTGTCATTCTTGTGTCTGAGATCACTCACTCTGGGGACATTAGTGCCACTCAGGCTCCTATGGAGACGCCAGGAGGTTAGGCCCTGAGGCCCCTGCACCACCAGGGAGGTGCCCACTTGGGAGCAGGTCCCAGCTGCACCCAGCCCTCAGCCCACACTCTGGGCCAGTGTCCTGGTGCCGCCCAGACAGTGACTGGGAAGTAGGGGCCTGGACCTGTCCCCAGTGCTGGCCCTGTGACCCTGAGTCAGGAGAGGGTGACTGTTCTCAGTCAGGATGTTATGGGGATATTTATAAAAAGGAATAAATGACTAATATACTTGTTTTTAGACAATACTAGTCTTAGCCAATGTTTTAGTTCTGATACTTGAACTATATTATTTAGAGAAGTAATTATACTCACATGTACAAATTTAATGTTGAATAGCTAAAATTAAAAGTTTTCAATTATAATTATATTATTTTTTCTTAGAATTGGCTGCTTTGAAAATCAATTATGTTATTAAATCATCTGCTTTATATTCTCAGTAAGACAAAGACTACAATTTATTATGTTCCCATTTTTACATTTAGGAGAAGTCATTTCATAATTAGGAAGCAGGTCATGATTTCAACAGAACTTACAGATGCATCTGGGAGGAGGTGCCCAGCCTCCATCAGTGCATCTTGTCTTATTTCTTCGGGTTAAAGGAGAAAAGCCATTGTCACAGCGGTATGTGATTACATTTCCCAGTCTGTATTTGGTCCTGAGAGGTGTGTAGAGACCGTTAGCAATAGCTGGAGGATCACAGGTTATTTCTGAAAAGAGAAAGGACAGGTGGATAAGGCAGAAATCACTGCCCGGGAAAAGAGTCAAGTCCATGACAATACAGTGAATGTTGAAAGAATCCCCCAGACAATTTGGGGTATCATCTAGCTTTTCTGTGAAGCATTTCCCAGTCATGTTTTCACAAGCATATTCACATGACTCTCTAATATCTGTGCAGAGGCTTTCAGCCTGTAGAACACAGAAGACAGAAAACTATTTATTTTATTTGCCCTGGAGATGAATATATGACAATCTTCCTACAAGATACTCTCTGTTGTGAAGTCACAATACACACTGTTCCTACGAGTCGATTCATTAAACCCAGAGACACAAGCAAGTAGGAACGACAAGAAGTTGCAGGTTGGAGGGAGCTGAGTGTGCAGCTCTGTGTCCAGCTTACCTTGTCCATGAGCCCGGGAGGCCCACAAGGTGACAATGACACTAACCAGGGACAGCAGCATGTTGGGCATCCCCGACGGTGTATCAACACGAATATCCCAGCCGTGCTCCGTGGAGTTGTGAGTCTGCCTCGTGAGCGGTTGTTAGTGTGAGCCTGAATTTCAGGCACTGCCAGGAAGCTGGTTTGTTGGGTTCACTTAATATCAAAGTTCAGAGAGTTTTGCAAGATATGCAAATTTTTGTTAAAAGTTTCTCAATCTCTTTGTGACTTCCTTTTCTCATTGTCCTTGCTCAACATGCCTCAGTGATATTAACACATCTGATGCAAAATTGACAAGTAACAGTAATTTTTAAATTAAACAACTCTAGCAATGGCCAAGGTTTTTCCTCCACCCAGAGGTGGAATGGGAATAACTCTGAGTCCACTTCCCTGTAACTGTCCCTTGTCCTGTAAGTGTCCTCACCCAGCCTCAGTGCTTAGGGTCTGTGAGCACCAATCCCCAAAGCTACTAGCAAATGTTTGTTAAAATGTTACTATTCAATGTTACTTAAGATTTTATTATCCAGTAATGTATAATTAATATTCTTATTCTCCTAAGGACTCTTTCACATCTCCTGTGGTTTTCATGAAGAGCTTCTCATGAAAGGAAAGATCTCTTGGAACATTTTCCCTACCAGAACATTCCCCTTGACCCTATTGTCGTCATCCAGGCCTCATTGCCCTCACGTCTGCGCACCTACGTCTCTGGTCTTTGAGAGGTTCACATACAGGGAGCTTCACACACGTCACTTACTGTGGCCTGGTACTTCTGGGGACCTACCTCCTCATGTGCAAGTGATGCCATCCAGCCACCTTGTGAAAAAGTCACACAGTTGTCCTCACGGCTGTAGCACCATTTTCCTGCAGGTGCTAGAAAGTACGATTCATTCCTGCTTTTCATGTATGGACATCCGTGCTTTCTTTCTGGAATATTAGAAGGTGTCACTGGCAACAAAAAAACAAGGAGCAGATGAAGTAATGATTTCCATGACCAATTAAAGCACAGAAGAATTGTTTCATTGATGAACTATCACCTGTTTGGCATCACTGTCCCCCTGGTTTAGGGCTCCTGGGATGAGAAGGGATACAGAGTTCGGAGGGCAGAGCTGGTGCAGACGTCTTGCTGAGGTGAAGGAGGTTATGTCTTGTGTGTCATGTGATGTATGAACTTGGATGTGGACTCTGGAGGAAGCGAACTGTTCAGACGCACCTGCGGTGTTTTCCGGAGTCCCTGTGGTCCAGGGCTGGGTGAGGAGAGGGGTTCTGGCTCCAGGGATGAAGGGGCTGTTTCCACCTCTCAGCTCCTTTGTCCCCCTTTTGTCTCATCTCCTCTCTCAGCAGGAAGTGGGCCCCGGGTTCTCTTCTCACACCAGTTCATGCAGAGAGATTGCGGTGTCTTACGGCTTCATTGTTGTATTTCCTTACATTCATGCCCCCCCCCAGTTATTGGAGACAGTGTACTGTCTTAATTATATATATAAGTATAACTAATATATATATTTATTTGTAATTATAATATATAATATAATTATGCCTTTTATAATTAATAAAATTATATATGAAAGAAGAAAGGAAATAATTAGAGTTAAAATTGATGCAATGGTGAGATTTATAAGGGCATGTGCAAGGAAGAAATAAACAAAGGAATAAATTGAAAAAAATACTACGTTAATAGAGGACAAAGCAGAAAATCTAAAACTGAAGAATATCACCAATGCAAATAAATGTATAATGTTACTACTAATTTGGTAAGCAAGCTAAGCAGAGATTAGCATTTCTGTCCCATCGTTTTGAATACCAGAGGGTGTCCAACATCCTGGGACAGAGCAGATACAAAAGCATTTTAGCTGTCACTCAGTAGTTACTGTGCTAACAGTAATGTTTGCTTTACACTTTGGAAACCTTTTTCTGAAACTGAGATGTAAGAATATAGAAGCAATGAGACAGAGAGAAAATGTATTGAAGAGTTTCTAGATCCTGTTTTATTAGCAGAACTGTAAAACCCAAAAGGAACTAATGCTGTATTTATTTATCTACTAATTCATTCATTCATTTATGTATCTTTAGAATATTACTTTTTATTTTATTTTGTTGAAAGCACACACTGCATTCCACCCCCAAGGACAGCCAAGTGTCCCGTGGAAGTACAAGACCTTATGACAATATATGAAATCATTGTGACCTGAACGTGTAATATTTTACACTCTTAGGTGTCATCAATGACAATGACCAGCAAAGATTTACTGAGCCCCTTCTGGATGCCAGGCCCTGCACTGGGCACTGGGACTTGGTTGTTGTCCACTCTTGTGACAGTATTTTCTTCATTGCCTCACGACAACATTCTTTTTAGTTGTGCTGTTTGAGACTGAGATAAAATCTTGGTATAAGAGTGTTTCATGCCTGTAAAAATGTATTTACTCTTGTTATGGGTGTGTTGTCAATCCTTACAATTCATTTTAATTTCATTTCCATTTCAAAGATCTGACAATCTAAAGAAACTGGAAGTAAAAATACTTCCACACTATTGGACATGCCCATGTGGAACATAGTTCTTGGGTTTTAAATGCTATTTCCCGATAAAAAAAAATCTGAGGTTCTTGCAAGCATGTGTGCCCATGTGAGCAGTTGGCAGGAGAAGTACACACTGAGCGTGGAACAACACACTGTGATATAAAGAAGAGAAAGGCTGAATGAGTAAGTGGGGATTCAGCTGAAGCTCCAAGAATGTGGTTCAGGTGACAGCCCCTCGCCAAGACTGGAGTAATCCAGCGACCAATGGAGAAATGAATGTGACCAAATGTGACAAATGGATCATTAAACACTGAATTCTTGCTGATACATACAGCAGTTTTAAAGAAGAAAAAGAAATCCTGAAAACTGACATAGAAGGACATGAACATAAGTTTTTGCTCCAGAAAGTGGAGATTGAGGGACAATCATGATGAGTAGCCACATCATTTAGGTGAAGGTTTAACCTACGCAGCCTTGGTGAAGGGACACTTACCTGTGTACAAGAGGCACCGGGAATGAATGCAGAAGAACGATAGAACTGGTCTGTGAAATTACTGTTTTGTGACCTCCAATGAAATAATTGACAAAAACCAGGTGTGACAGGTTCTACTACTATTGGGTAAAAGGCTGGGAGAAACACTATGTGCACAAACATCACCATTTATGGCAAAGAGATGTGTCCATTGTGATGATGACCCTTCATGTGACAGGAAACTGGGTGCTCTGTGACACAGGTTCCCTAACCTGGTTCCTTGGTGAAGCCAGTCTCTTCATTGGAGCGATGTCCCAGGTTTGGTTTTTAACACAGAGCAACAGGGTACCACTTCAGGTATTTGTAGCTTAGTTACTTATAGCTTTATTTTCATTTTAAAATTTTTATTGAATTGACTGGGGTCACACTGCTTAATAAAATTATATAGCTTTCAGGGGTACAGTTCTATAATACATCATCTGTAAATTGTATTTGTGTGTTCATTACCCCAATCAGGTCTCCTCCCATCACCATTTATCCCCCATTTACCCTCTTCTACCTCTCCCACCCCCTTCCCTCTGGTCATCACCATACTGTTGTCTGTGTCTATGGGTTTTATTTCATTTTATTTTTTAATTAATGCCTTCACCGTTCTCACTCAGTCCCCCCAATTCTCCCCTCTGACAGCTGTCAGTCTGCTTCTGTATCTGTGAGTCTGTCTCCGTTTTGGTTGTTAGTTTACTTTGCTCATCAGATTCCACACATCTGAAGTCTCATGCAGCTTGTCCTCCTCAGAATGGCTTATTTCACTTCGCACAGTACTCTCGAGGTCCATCCATGCTGTTGTGAAACGTGAGACCTACATCCTCACTGTCATCTTACAGTATTAATGTTTTTGTAGAAATGAATAATGTTTATATTCAACTGAATTTAATTAGTGATGTGTTTGAAATGTATAAATATAAAAACCATATTTCAGGCTCTGGGGTTTGAAAGTGTCCAAATCTCTATAAAGCAGCAAAATCATGAAGATGATATTTAAGCCCTCCTCTTCATGCAGAGCTATTTCTGGTTCTCATCATGTGTCATCTTACTTTTTGTGGGTATTTACTCCAAATTAACATATTTCATCATTCAAAGATGATACATGTTCAATACAGAAGACTGGGGGAATGTGGGACTGAACCCCAACTCCTACCCCCATTATCTCTACATCCAACAGAGTTGTGGTAAGTGTCATTGCACTTCCTGCCGGTCTCTGCTCTGTAAACGCGTAGTCATGGTTCACAGCATGTCCTGAGATTGTGTGAATGTGTTTATACTGCTGCTGTCTTTTCATCAGGACGTGTGCCACTGCCCACAGTCTTGCCCTGATTTGGACCCCACCTGCTCTGTGTGACGTGTCTGAGAGCTTGCCTGCACTGGGGGGACAGGCTGCAGAAGATCACGCCTGTCACCATCTCTGGTGAGTGTTTCTCGAGGACAGGTAATAACTGCTGACGTCTTCTCTCTGACACAGGTGTGACATAGGCTGGTTTTTATGTGTTTGTGAAGTGATTACATTTTGAAGATGGAGACAAGCATGTTTCCCCTTTTCACTCTGCAACAAGAGTCTCAAACAGCCCCAGAAGTTCCAGACCAAAGTGTTGGGAAAGTTAGGGGAGTGGTTGGGTGCAAGCAGGCTGTGAAGGGATAGGTTCTGATTTCTGGCCACAGATGTTTGATGAACAGAACACACAGCATTGTGGTTTGCCACATTTTAATGAGATCCTTTTTCAGAGCAATTCATTGGTCTTTCACATTATAATGATATCAACATAAATTCTGATTATGAAGAAAAATGAGATAAAATATACTTGAAAAAAATAGAGAATTGGATTAATATAAAATACTCTAAATGAGTACATGTATTTCAATTTTCAGAATGCAACATAACCATCATTTTATTCACAGGTGGGATACGTCAGTTTTCCTGCCTTACACGTTACCCGGAATGAGGAAGGTGGTGACTTTGCATGATACCCAGGTCGGCAGGTGAACTCAATACTATCATCTGATTCTGAATAAATTTTTTTGTCCTGTTTCCATTTTAACTGTATGTTATGTTTTTCCATCATTTCTTCTAATATTACACATGCCTCTAAAGGTAAAAAACAAGAAATGTAAAACATTAAGTGGTATACAAATTCTCAGTAGAGAAGTTTAGACTGTCACGTAGAATCTTCCACACTGATCCAGGAACTCATTCTCAAAACCTTTTTCAATATAACTCATTGAAAAGTCATCCTGTAGATGTAAGTCATTTTAAGCAATTAATGATGTAAATATGAGGTATTCTGTGGGACAACTAAAAGGTAAATCAAAGTTAATAATAGCAGTTACTATGTATTTAGTTTTCATAAAAGAATCTTTGTTACTCTTCCTGTTTGAGAATTTTTTTTGTATGTTATTTGTCCATGCCTCACTATGAGGGAGTCAAGCATTCATCAGAATATGGTCATCCATGAAAGTTCTGTTATAAAGAGCCGAACATCACACTCTTTATGCCGATTTCCCAGGACCCATGGGAACGACAATCCACTTACCTAAACATTTGGGTGGTTGTGACCACTCTCCATCACGACATCTTATTATCCTGTTTCCCTGAAGTTTATAGTAGGCCTGGCATTTGTACTCCACCGAGTCTCCTGGAGCGTAGACGGCTGATGGGAATGTGGTGATGTCCCCATTGTCGATGGTTGGAGGGGGGCCCACATGTTTCCTTTGGACTCTACAAAAGGACAGTCTTTGGTTTAAGGTGGCTCTGGAGTAGGTGGGGGGCTATCCTCACCTCTTCCAGGAGCCAGACTGGATTTACAGCTAAATAAGGGAGTAAGCAATGTGAATAACCAAGTGAAGGATGCCTGACCAAGAGCCTTAAACCTAGGGTGTACGGAAGCCACCACACAGATGGGTAAGCAGAGAGGACATGGGGACAGCCTTGACCCCCCTACCATGGACAGTGGCTGAGAAGCTGGAGAGTCAGCTGGGCTGAAAGGCCCCAATAAAAAGCTCGCATTCTCACCCTCATTCTGGAATCCATGACAGAATATCTCTTCTTCTAATGTGGCCAAATATGTCCTAGAATAAGTACACCATAGTACTTACTCAGTCCACGGACAGAATGGAACTTTAAGCACCACCATTTTATTTGCATGAATTTATTTCCTCCATAGGAACCACTTCATTATGTATTCATATCAACACAGTTTGTCCCTAATATATCCTCTACAATGGGGGTGAGGGGGAGAACAAGATACTCTACCTTTGCACTGAGGTGGATTTGTCCAGTTCCCATTCAAACAGGTCACCTCTACATCCCCAAAGAGGTCCAAAGATTTCTTGCATTCGTAACGTACTCTGTCACCAGACTGATACCGAGTCATCCTGCTTTGTATAGTGGCATTTTCGACTATGGGTGGACTCCCACAGGAATTATCTGAATAAAAAGGAAAAATGTATATCTAATGCAATGAATGTTTATAACTCACATTGACCAATGGGATTCCCTTCTATTTCTGGAGGACTTAAATCCATATTAATCTGTCATGAAGACTGAGAAATTTCATAAATTTACATGTATGATTGAAAAAGGAGATAATGCAGGGTTTTTTTTTCTGTAGCAGTTAAGCTTCTATATCTTAAATTTCTTTCCCACCCTCTTGAAGATTAATAGACACTTATAACCAGTGTAAATGATGGCTTTGGGGGACTTTCCTTTGAGTTTAGCAGGAAAAAAAAGAAAGTTATGTAAATTGAAGATAAATTGATGAACCTTAATACTAGAATAACAGATTATTTGGCATGAGATTTGGGTTGAAATCATCATGTCTATTCATTGTGATTTTAGGCTCTTGGGCTAATAAGTACAGTAGTCATTTCCTTAAGGAGTATGTCAAGAATTAAATGCTTTGAGGAATACCTCATAGTTAAAGGAAGAGGGTGATCGCAAAAAAGATCCAAACAGAGGCTGAGGAAAAATATTATGAAAAAAATGAATTTACAATTTAATGAAAGTACTGTAGTCATCTGAGGGGGGAAGATTATTATAGATGCTAAGATGAGCAACGAACTTCAGCTAGAGGCAAAGTATTAGTAGACCGAAAGTGGAAGCTGCTGGGAATTCCTGTCAAAAAGGTTTCACTGCTAGGGTTATGCCCTAAGAACCCTGAAACACCAATCCAAAAGAACCTATGCACCCCCCATGTTCATGGCAGCACCATTTACAATAGCCAAGTACCAGAAGCAACATAAGTGCCCATCAGCAAACAAGTGGATCAAAAAATCATGGTACATTTACACAATGGCATAATATGCAGCAGAAAGAAAGAAGGAGCTCCTACCCTTTGCAACAGCATGGATGGAACTGGAGAGCATTATGCTAAGGGGAACAAGCCAGGCAGTGAAAGACAAATACCATATGATCTCACCTTCAACAGGAACCTAATCAACAAAACAAACAAGTAAGCAAAATATAACCAGAGACATGAAAATGAAGAATAAATGGACAGTAACCAGACGGGAGATGGGAGAGGTAATGGGGGGGGGGATAATGGTGAAGAGTCTTCAGAAATGACTATAAAGGACATATGGACAAAACCAACAAGGGGGGTGGAATCAGGGGAGGGAGGGAGGGATGGCTGGGGTGGTGGGGAGAGAAGTGGGCCTGGAGTGAAAAGGCAGAGAACTGTACTTGAACAACAATAAAATTTTTTAAAAAGAGTTTCAGGTCACAACCTGGAGTTTTTTATGCTGCTCTGAGTGAGCCTGTGAAGTGGCATTTGCATTTCCTCCAGTTTCCCAGAAGGTGCTGACACTGCTGTTTCAGGGGCCACCCAGTGAGAACAGGGGCCCTCAGGTCAACCCTCACCACCCCTTCCATTCCTCTGTGTGAAGGCACCAACACCACCCCCCCCACCCCCCGCCCCTGATCTGGCCTAAGACAGAGCCTGTGTTCATCTCTTCATCATGCTAGAAGTAATGCTATTTAAGTACTATTTAAGACACTTCAGGGAAATTAAATGTCAAAGTTTATCAAAACACCTCTGCATGTGGGCGTCCCTATCCATCTGCCAGTCATACAGCGAACAACATTGGATCCATCCATTTGGTAGGGCTGTCGACATCTGTAAGCTACTTCATCTCCTGACTGATATACTTTCTTGTTCTTGTTTACGTTTGTGGGTTCGGCATTATCAAAGCTGGGTGGGGAAGGACAAGTTGTTTCTGAAAAGAAAAAACAAAACAAAACATTGGTTCAGTAAATCTTTAAAAAACATATATGGCCAATAACTTTACTCTAGAATAATAGGTACATACTAAACAAATGTATACTGTACAACATTTTTTTATAACTTGAAAATATGTTAACAGTCTTGACTTGATTACATTGAATGATTCTACATTTATCCGAAGTGTAATATGGCGATGAAGAGAAAGAAAGAAGGAACTTCTACCCTTCACGAAAGCATGGATAGATCTGGAGAACATTATGCTTAGTGAAATAAGCCAGTTGGTAAAGGCAAATACCATATGATCTCACCTTTAAGTGGAACCTAATCAACAAAACAAATAAGGAAGCAAAACATAACCAGAGACATTGAAATTAAGAACAATCTGATGGTAACCAGAGGGGAGGGTAGAGAGGGATAATGGAAAAATTGAGGGGGGTCATCAAGGAACATGTATAAAGGACACATGGACAAAGCCAAAGGAGGGTAGGATCGAGGGTGGGAGGCAGGGATGGGTGGGGGTGTGGGGGGGAGTGGTGGGAGGAAAATGGAGACAACTGTACCTGGAAAACAATGAAAAATATATAAATTAGTTTAAAACAAAGCATTACATGGGACTGATGGTTCAGAAAGCCTGATGAGATCAGGACCACACTTCTTACATTCAGATTCTTTTTTGTCCATAGAGGCCATCTGTGTTATATCCGTATTTGTACCCTTTCCTTCTAAGTCCATTTCCTAGAACTACATGAAGCATTGAAAAATGACACAAATGTCTCTAAGTAGGTAACCTGTAAAGTGTCAAGAGCTGAGTCACGATGAGACTGGTGAGCAGGGGCCAGCTGCATCCCACAGAGGTGACATGGCTGAGCATGCACATAGAGCATGGGGCAGGGGGACGGGGGACCTCAAAGTAATTCTTGTTAATTCTAGAATGACTACAGATTTAAATGGATGTCATTCATGCTCTAATTACATGTATTGATCAGCTCAAGAATAAAATTAAATACACCATACTTATGCATTCTGGGGGAGGGCTCCATTTTCCTCCTGAACATATCACAGATGCAGGTCCATGAATGGTAAATCCTCGGGCACACTTGTAGGTAAATTCTTCTCCATACTCATATCTGTTTTTCCTGTTCAGTGCAGCCCCATTGGAAACTGAAGGTGGTGGTCCACAAGGAAGTCCTGAGGAAAAAAGGTAAGAATGACTGCATATTTCACTAACTCTGGAATTTATTTCATGTACTGTTGGGCATAGTTGGTACTTTTATTTGATCACACAGGCCCTAATAATAATACATCACAGGAAAGGTGCATAAATGTTTGGTAAAACCGTGATCGAGGTGTGCATTGATGGAAAAGAGAAATGTCAATATATTTAGGAATGGGACTATCACTGCTCCTCTAACCAGTCACGAGTAATAAAATGAAACACATTGAGAATCATGTTATGAAAATTCTCATCTATTGTAAGAGATCAGAAAGGACATTGTAGGAAGAATATAAAAATTTAAAAATCTGGTGGCAAAGCTTTCACTACAATGTCTACAAATATTTAGAATAATACTAATAGCTGTACCCACATGACTAGTTAGGTTTAATTTCACTATACATCTAGTTTTAGTGGGGAAAATGCCATAATTAAAAGTGATTTCATGTACCACATTTTTTTTATCCACTTATGGACTGTTCGGCCCTCGTACTGTTTCCAGGTCCTGGCTGTTGGAAACAATGCTGCTGTGAACATAGGGGTGCATATAATCTTTCCAACCGGTGTTTCAGGACTCTTAGGGTGTACTCCCAGGAGTGGGGTCTCTGGGTGAGAAGGCAGTTCTGTTTTTAATTTTTGAGATATGTCCACACTGTTTTCCACAGTGATTGCTATGTGGCTATGAAAAAGAAGGAAATCTCACCTTTTGCAACAGCATGGATGGACCCCAAAAACACTATGCTGAGTGAAAGAAGCCAATCAGAGAAAAACATACAGTATGATCTCACTTGCATGTGGAATTAGTGAACAGAAGAAACTGGTGAACAAAATAGAACAGAGGCGTGGACGCATGGGACAGACTGACAGCTGTCAGAGGGCATGAGGGAGAGGGGGGCTGGGTGAACAAAGGCGAAGACATTGCTAAAGGACATGTATGCATAGCCCATGGACACAGAAGACAATGTGGTGATGGCCGGAGATAAGGCAGGGGGGTGGAGGCTGGGTGGAAGGGCACAAAGAGGTGGGAATGGGGACCTTGGTAATAGTGTCAACAAGAAAAATAAACAGAAAGAATAAAAAACTAAGTGATTTCAGAATAAACCCATGACATTAACAAAAATAGGATTTATTTATTTATGCAAAAATTGGTAAAATATGTTAATACATAATGGTACATAAACATATAAATAGATTTGCACACTTATAAAAGCTAAAGAATTATCTCTCATGCCTTTGATGATGATTGCTTATTTTAATGAATTGTACCAAATTAGGATTTTAGTTTGCACACTGTCCTTACCTACACATTGAGGTAGGGGGACTCCATTTCCCCAGGCGGCATGTTATCTCATGATGCCCAGTTATCTTGAAACCGTCTTCACAAACATAATGTAATTTAGTGCCATGTGGATAGAGCTTGGGCTCCACTGTTTCTTCTCTTTCTTCTTCTGATCTGGAGGAATTTACAGTTCCATGTTCTATATCAGGTGGCTGAGGACACGGTGTCTTTCTCTACAATGCAGAACAGAGATCAAAGGGTCAGGCACAAAGATCATATTTACAAGGAAAAATAAAATTAAACACACTTGGGGGTTTTTAATACAAGAATGATTTGAACTACTGAAATTATTTAATAACCAAACTATATTTGAAACTTGCCAAGATATATGTCTCCATAAAATCAATGATACCATCCCCTCATTCCCTAGGCCCCTTCATTCCCTTCCTGCTCATTCCCAGGAGTGAAACACGCATGTAGACCAATTGCATCTGGTGTTTCTGCAGTAACTCAAAGCTTCCCTCTGTGCTCACTTCACAACACAAGGGGAGCAATGCTGATTGGTTCTGGTACCGAAATTGAGATGTAAGGTTTTGAGGTGAAGTGGAAGGCATATGGAGAAAGGGCTTCAACTGTCCCTTTCCACAAAGCACAGGGGAGTCTAACCCTCGTTTGACAGACAGGTGTGACACAAGTGACACACTACTGACCAATGCAGCGTGGGACTGACTTCCAGATTCCACCCTGGCACACGAGATCTCCTGCTTCCAGAATCAGAGAATTGTCTTGACAGAGAATAGAGATTGCTTCTCCTTCCTGATAATTCACTGTGGTCGTCATATTTTGAGATTTGGGAATCTGAGGAGGAGGTGGACATCTTGGTATTTCTAAAAATATTAAAATTAGATTTATTAAGGAAAACCACAAGTTACAAATATTAAAAGGATAAGTCAGTAAATAAAACTGTCAGTAATAATGCATCTCAAAAGATCAAATGTAATGACATGTTCTAGATTTATGTTTGTTATACTGTTCTTGCTTACCACTGTAATATACCACATTGGGTTTCTATTCTCATGGCCTTCTTTTAGAGTCTTTCTCTTATTCTTTCTGTGATCAAGCTTGGATAATTTAGGGAAAACCTATTTTAATGATTTCTAATGAGTAGAACATCCTACCTGGATTATTTATTCAGTAACAGTCCATAAAACCAAGAGTAATATCAGAATCTTTTTAATGAATATCCATGATCAAATGGTTTGGAAGCCAAAGTAAACCCTTAGAAGATGTTGTACCAATAGACGCTGAACAGCCATAGCTATAGGGAACTGGTCCACGTGGCAATGGTGAATGTAGCTCAGCCCTGGTTTGGGAAACTGACAGGTGCCAGGTGGCACACAGGAGCCAGTCCCGCAGATCCACTTTCCCATGGGGGACCAGGCCTGCATTATTTCTAGGTTGCTTTGAGGCTTGCTTTTGCTAAGACTCCCTCACCCTGAGTTAAGACATCAGAGGTTTAATGTATATCTTTGAAGTAACTCACTAAAGTGTGTGCCATTCCAACCATGGAATGTAACCAGATTAATCACTTTTATTGTTCTTTTCATTTGCAACATTGTTTTCTTTGTTATCTGTAAGAAGTAACCACTTAAAACAAATCTGTGCATAATGAATGAGGTATTCCTTGATGTAATGCTCCCAGAAAGCAGTAAAAGGCTGTCCAGGAAGGGGTCAGGGCACTCTCTCACTCAGAAAGTGGCCATGCTGTCCCTTTTCTCCACAGGACTTCTGCAGTCCGTGTGATTTTGTTCATCGCATCCACAACATAGACACCGCTGGCCAGAGTCTGTGTCCCGTAGGGAAGAATTGCCTTTAGTTAAAGATCGATTAATTTGATACAGATTCTTGGCTGAGATATGAATTAGATATGTTGAGTGGTGATTTATGTATTTGTGAAAAGTTTAAAACTTTCCTGCAGGTTCTGTTTCCTAGCTTGCCTAAATTGGTAAAAGAGCTATATAGGAAATTTAAATAGCCTACTCTCTGTTAAGGAAATTAAATTAATCAGCAAAAAATTTTTAAAAGAAGAAACTAAACTATATATCAGATGATTTCACAGGTTTTCTATCAATCATTTAAAAGAAAAAATATAATAACAGTGTGTATAATAACATTGTACATATACTTTTGGATAACAAAGGAGTACAGAGCAATTTTCTATTGGGTCTCTGAGACCACAATAACCTTGATAAGAACATATGGCAGAGACATTACAAGAAAGCAACAGTAATCTAATATCCTCTGTGAACATACATGCCAAAATTTTTAAAAATATATCAGCAAATCAAATACATGAAAGTAAAGAAAGAATACCATATCACTGCCAACCACAGTTAACTGAGGACAGTGAGTTCAGGTGCCCTGCATCTGGAGAAGATCAACACAGAGGTGAAACTGGGGAATCAGAATGAGCCCTGTGCTGTTGGAATTGGTGGTGGCAATAAGACTGTTTCTATGACAGATACAGATAAACAAAATGATAGATGGCTCAGTGGGTAGATACCTATGGAGATAGATGGATACATTCCCAGAAGGGTATATACATCCCTAGATGCCAAGATAGCTACATGAGTTAGAGGTATAAGCATAAGCACAATGTAACACAAAAAATTAGTAGCAATGGTATTCCAACAGCAATGAGCAGACCTACTCCCCAAAGTTGAAGTCACCAGTTCCTGAGTGGTTTGTCAGGTAGCTGTAGAATGCACATGATACAATTACTATTTTGAAACAGTGCTCTGGTTATTTTCTAAATCACCTTCCAGTGGGAATTATTTGTAATAAGAAATAGTTAATAAAAAGTTTTAAGACACAACGAGGCTCCTTTTACAAGGTAGGAAGAAATAGGGATGACATTTGAAAATGTTATAATCAAGAGCTGACCTGTGCAGTTCACTTCGGGATTCCATCTTCCATTGATGCAGACTGAGTGCTTCTGCTCTGACCTTCTTTGGCACGTGTAATTCACTTGCTCATTATGGTCATAGTCAACCCTATATGACCGGAGTGGCTTATATTCGTGTGACCTTCGTAATTTACATGTCTTAATGTTACCTGTTTCTGCAAAATGAAGATGTTACCTTGAAAACACTAATCATGAGAATCTAAGCAACTAATACAAAAAGTAGCTATAGAGTCCAGAGTACAATGAAATTGGAATTTAGGTCTATAAATTCCACCAGCACAGTTATTCCTGATCATGTTGCATGAGGTGGGCTATTACGGAGAAACACAGTCCCATGTCCAGTGCTGATATTTCAGAGAGAATAACCATCATTAAGGCATTTTGCCCTTTGGGAATTGCAAGAACATAGAGGTTCACATTTTGCTTTATCTGCATAGATAAGAGTCATCACATGACTAAATTTGGTCCCATTTGAAATCTGTGCAAATGTTCACATCCATTCTTTTCCTGATCTCAGACATTTCTGCATTATTTTAAACCACAATCCTAAAGCATTAGAAGAAAACAATGATCTGTGCAAACAGAATATATGAAGTTGGTAGTTTATTATACTGTTTCAATAAAGTTAAGGTAAAACAACAAGGAAAGTTGGTCTAAGGTGTAGAGTATAGAATGTGAATATTGAAGCATGTCTTGTACGTGATCACCAAAATTAAGAATAACAAATTCGATGGTTAAGTCATAACCTATTTTGCATATATACTTTAGAATGTTTGAGGAGCTGTTTTATATACCAGATCATTGTATAATCCAATACTGTATAATCCAATATTATAATGGTAGAATAATCCATTTTTGCTGGCTTCAGTATGTTATTCATAGATTAGTAAAGTTTTTATACAACTATGTATTTCAAAAATTTCATGCATATGGCAAATCCTGTTTTTCAACTTGATGTCAGTGTAGGTCTCGGGCAGTATTTGTTAATAATTTGGTAATGATATCAAGTGAGAATGAACAGAAGAAAGAAAATTCAAGTAACTGGCCAAAAACAGTAAGGATTTTGTAATGCGATCTTGAAAAAAATAAAAGGGACTAATTTAAAACACACTAGATTCTTGAGAATTAGTGTTATTTTCCCAGGACTTGTCCAGAGTGCTGAGAAAGGAAAGAACAATATTCCTCTTCAAGGGATGGTAACTGAAGGAAGATTTGTAGCTGAAAGGATGTGTGTGGTTCTTCTCCTATGTCCTATGGTGACTGGTTTCTGAAATAATTTCTTTATTAGGAAAAAAATAAGCATCTTGAAGAAAATGAAAAGTTAAGACTAACAGAAGGTACAAAGTAAGCATTGAGGGAAGAAATTTTAATCATACATCTATCCACAAGTAAAATTTAGCTTCATATTTACAGATAATGTTAACACCAGAAGATATTCATAAAGTTCTGTCACTAGTTTCTATTTTTCCCCTGTAGACAGTATTGAACTATAAACAACAAATCTTTGGATTCATTATAATTTATGACATGACACTTTCAAGAATATCTCCAAATTTCAAAAATATGGTGGCAAGGGCTTTACAATAAAAATATTAAATGGTCTCACAGGGCTATTATAGGAAGGCATGCTCACCAATGCACTCAGGTGGTTGGGTCCACTTTCCCTTCAAACATGTAACTGATCTGGGCCCCACCATTGTGAACCCTTCTGTGCAGCTGACCTGCACAGACTCTCCATGGTGATAGGGATGCTCCTGGGAATAGACGGAGCCGTGAACCATGTCAGGTATGTCTTCACATGTGCTGTTCTCCTCTGTGAAAATGTCACAAGCATATGCTAATGAAGAACAAACTGCCAGTAACCAGAGGGGAGGGGGGAGGGGGACAGTGGGGGAAAGAAGGGAAGGGCCAAGCCAAGGAACATGTATACAGGACCCATGGCCAAAGACAATGGGGAGGGGAGGATTGAATGTGGGATGAGGAGGGTTGGTAGGGCAGGGGAAAGAAATGGAGGGTAATGGGGAGAACTGTAATTGAACAACAATAAACATAAAATAAAAAATAAAGCTCCTGTAAACAAACAAAAAGTAAAAATGAATTATGTGTTTCTATGAATATAAATACACACTAGTGACTTACGTCTAAGTGTTAACATTTTTATACACACCAGTACACCGGGGCAAGGATGTCCACTCCCCATCAACACACTGAATTCTCTGAGAACCCTTCAGCAGAAACCTGGGGTCGCAGACGTACTCCACAACTTCACCGTGTTCATGTTCTTCTTTCGGCGTGTTTGTAGCTGTCCCATTGGGGAGCTGAGGATGTGGACCACACGGTTTCACTTCCACTACGGTAGAAATGCAGTATGGTTACTGGTTACATAGTCTATTTGACAAGTTAAAATCCAGTACAATTTTTCTTAAATTTCTTACTTATTATCTAATTTATTAACAAACCATAGAAATGATTCCTGAAAGTATAGTCTTTATTATGATCTAATTTATTATAGCAGTCTTTGAGAAAGGAAAAAGTGTGGTGTTTACATTAGATTCATATCTCCCCAGTTCTGTTACTTATGCTGATTTAGCAAACTGGAAGTATATTTAAGCCCAGGAAACATGTTCTGTGTTCTAGACAGTCTAAAAATATATACAAACTAAGTAACAAATATACTACTGTAACTTATAATGATGTTCATGTTCCTTAGAAACATATCAAAACTTTTATATTAAATATTTTTTATTTATTTAGCTTAGAGAGAGAGCGAGGGATAGAGGCATGTAGAGGGGGAGAGAGAGAGAAATGTGGATTTGTTGTTCCATTCATTGGTGCATTCAGTGGTTGCTTCTTGCATATGTGCTGACCTGAGATTGCACCTGCAACCTTGGAGTGTTGGAATGATGCACTAACCAAATGAGCTCCTTGGCCAGGGTCAAGACTTTGAAAAATCACCATCATTGGAGCCAAATGCTTTTGTACTTTGATCAACCACTTTTAAGTCATATCTATGATGGAGTTGACTGTAAGATGCTTAAACATTGTTTAGACACACTCAGTGGAACCTGAAGTGAAGCCCATGCTGGCAGAATGAGATGCAAAAACAGGACTAAAAAGAAGTGGCTCCAGCACCAGACACCGCTGAAGGTGAACTTCTTAAACAAGGACATCTGAGGCACGTACTACCAATGCATGGTTTTCTGAAGAAATCTCTGGCTTAATGCCCTAGATTAGAGACACCCTGGAAACCAACAGAAGACTAACAGGGAAACACAATGTGATAACCAAAATTCTAATTCTTGTTGGAGCAGTTGTCAGATAAAACATTCACCTTTACATGTTGGAGGATCTGGAGACCACCCAAAGTTGTAACACTGAGTTGAATCTGGTCCAACAAGTTTCAGTCTTTGTCTGCAGGAGAATTTCAACACGTCTCCCAATGAAATATTTCTCTTTCTGGGGCTGAACAAATTATGTTTTGTTCTATATCAGGAACAATGCATTCCTTTTCTATAAAAACAATTTCATAATTATTAAGAAAATAATTTAATGAGCATATACATATTTTCATTGCCAAATAAAAGTTATACATCATGCAAAAATAAGTTGCTGGGTGTTGCATATACAGAGAGGTATCAAACAAATCCTCTCCCTGGAAAAACATTTATCCATTCAGTTTACACCTCCTTCAAATTCATATGGGAGTCTCTGAACAACAATACATGTGTTCTGAAAATTTGTAAGATCAACTTGCTCATAATGGATCTGATTTTATCATTGACATAAAATTTAAAGTTACTGGTTTTGTATTATCAAAATAAAACTATTCTCTGACAAAAAACCCCACTGATGCTACAATTTTAAATTGCATGCATAAATAAAATCTGGAACTTTGTTTAATATACATCAGAAACCAGGACACTCAGAGAGGCATTTCTGGTATATTTCAGTTAGAGGAACATTAGAAATTGCTTAATTAATAAATTAAACCAAAATATAACCAAACTGAAATATTAAAGAAGATGAAATAACATTCCCAAGGTCACACATGGTAGACATATTCTAGGTGCCCTGAATATTTATATACTATAAAACTATCTGTTCTTACTTAGGTATAGTTTATGTTGGCTATTAATAAATTATGAGTTAATCTGATTCAAATTAGAATGTGTAAATATGCCTTAAATTTTTTTAAATTTGTGAAGCTTATGACATTGCTAAATGTTATAAAAGTACACTGTGCTTGATTCCTCTATCTCATTAATTAATATAAAAAATTAATAAGTGGAATTTAAAATTTGCAATCACACCAAAATAAAATTCATATGATTTAAAAGTCAAGTATTAACACATAATCATAAAGGTAGACATAACTTAATGATTTTCAAAAATGATGTCACAAAAAACCTCAATAATTTCCTTTTGTTTTGGCTTTTGCTTTAATGTTGAACTTTGTAGTTTATTGAAAAGATCATGCTTGAGTGGGAACCACTGGGATACTTCTAAAATGTTTTTCCAATATTCTGCATAACAATTCTTTTATTAGTGTGTGTCCTAATTTCCACAATTTGTGCTTATTTGGTATAAATTCTTCATCTCATCATATTGTAAAAAAATGCTGCCTTGAGCAAAAAAATAAAGGTCTTGGCTGTTGGCTATTTCCAGCTGTTATATTTATAGAAGGACTTAAGAAATGTGATTTAAGAAGGAGAATGAATGGGAATACCCTGAATTACAGACATTTATATTCATTCAAAAGTCAAAATTCTAAATCCTAGCACTGAGACTTCAATATGTTGGTCTGGACTTTTAACTCTGAAATGTACATGTAGTTAAGATTGCTGCTAGCACTGTTTGGCTTAATGGTTTATGATAACATTGCTTGGAAACTCCTCTCCAACCAGGAGACTTTCCAGGACATTTGAAATCAATTCCAGTGTCAGCTACTCCGTGTGCCAGTCCCTGCTACGTGGCTGAGGAAAGCCCTCTGAAAGGAATGCTAAGCTGCCATTTGTTTGCTCCGTCCTTGGAAGCCTTACGTCCTGCTGGCGAATTCCAACCAGTGTGTCCTCAGAGTCATGGGTTACTGCAAATTCTCAATAGAAAGCCATATTGGCCCCAGTGCTTTCTACCGCTGTCTCTGTCACCTGCAGGTCCATTCCTTCACGTTGTTCTGTCATGTCTGATGGCCTTGGAAGCACATATTCCTGATTGGGCGTTCTTCCTGACAGAAGGCCCTCAAGGCTATCAAAGCTTCTGGGTTCATACAACCTGGGTCTGCCTCTGATCCCAGAAAAGAGTGACAGTGCGATTACACTTTCATCACAGATCTGTGATGTGCGTGGACTCCAGGGCATGTCAGTGCACTGGGTTGGATGGGTTATTGTCTTTAGACTTCAAAACCCCCTGTCCTCCCAATTTGCATTGAATCAGGAGACACCTCAGTTGTATTCACTGTGCATTAAAAGTAATTCCACATAATCCAAATTTGGTAAAAATAAAACACTTTATACACATTTTGTTTATTATGATAATCCTGGAAGAAAACGACTTACCGTGACAGGAGGGTGTACCAGACCAGCCACTGTGACCACACTCTATGAAGCCTGTGGTGCGTCCGTCTCCGTTTCTATATCCATCCTGGCACTCATAGTCCAACCTGTCATTGACCTTAAACCACGTGCTGCCACTTCTGGCTCTGGCATTCTCAAGCACTGGCATATCACAAGATTCTAATGCACAATGGAATTGAAGAGTTCATGTCCAGTAGCATTTAACAGACACTCTAATGGAGTCAGTCCCATCCCAAGGAAACACATCACATAAGAGCAATCTCAGAATACCAGTGATAAGTCACTGTCCTGATATTGTTACTCAGGATGAAAACAGGTGTTTCTACAAAGCAGTTTTACCATCACTTAAATCATCTGAACAATTTAAGGTCGTTTTTCCCAATGCCATTGCACTCACACATTTATTCCACCCTAGCAGGAAACTAGGCCCTAACAGACCTGCTGGACTTTGGTTTTAGCAAAGCAGAGTAGCATTTGGTGAATGGAGGTAGGAGCCAAACTCATTAACAGTTGGGCCATCAATGCCAGAAACAAAGTTAACTGCTTCAATGAAAAGGTTAATTTTCAACAGTGAGAGTGATTTTTAAACATTCTATAGAAATCTACTTTAAAACTTACTAATTTTAAAAACTCACATGCTAATTTAGCTTTTTTCAAATATCCCCTTAATGACTGGATATTCTTCTATACTTATCAAGATTGAATGGAGAAATAGTTCCACACTTATTACTTGTATAAGAAATTAAATTGTTGAACAAATAGTCTCCATTTTTACTAATATCTTACTGGAGTGATGTTAATATAGGTTTAAATAACTTTCCTGAAATTTTAAAACATATTAGGTAGCCAGCTAATTTAAAGATTTAAAAAGTAAAGAAAACTATAATAATAAAAATAATAATAGAGACATTTTTTCTTTCCTAGTAAGAGTGTTGTAATGGATAATTAATCACAATTTAGTATAGTATTAATTTGATATAAAGGCAACCTTCATCATTTTTCTTTTGCTAGTTCCCATTGTAAGTAAAGAAACTGAAAAAAATGAAAAATAAAAATGGATATTTTAAATATTCACTTCATGTGAATGAAAAATATCATTACGTGGCTTTGGGATAAATAATATAAAATGAGAAAAGTGTTCTTAGAATATTCTCATAAACATCGAGGAGGCAACAAGCATTTCTTAGTCTCCACTGACTCGATGTTGATGTATGTTTTCTTAAAAATATGAATTTTATTCAGAAGAGGGCCTGCTCTGCTGTATCACATATAAATTACACAGGTGACACTATTCTACAATTATGCACTGTGAACACTTGTTTTCACTTAAACACATAACTTTATGTCTAGGAATGAACACCTGGACATAAAAGTCTGACCCCCTGAAAACAGGCCCAGGCCAAGGCCTCATGTAGAAATGAATGAGTTGACACCAGAACACACAGAAGGTCCCTCACCAGTTTGGAAATCACAGGAAGTTTTATGGTGGGAAAACCCTTGAACTGAAAGATGGGCTATATCTACCTTCTAGTAGTTCATTGTAAAAGGCAAAACTTATGCACACTTTCTCAAAAACCTTTTATGTATCTTTTCAAATGGAACCACCTCAGCTTCTGCCAGCCCAAGGAAAAGAAATCAGGTAAAGTAACCATTTCTGCCACAGGCATCGGGGCAATAACTCAACATCGTGAATGACTTACTAATGCACCTGGGGTGAGGGGACCATCCACGCTGCAGACACGTGATCGTTCCTGATGTCTGACCATCTTCTGTTAAGTAACCTTGTTTGCACTTGTATTGTGTTTCTTTATATAAGAGGTATGACAGTTGAGATTCAGAAAAAAATCCATTCTCAATTTCTATATCCGATTTTAAACATGTGACTAAATGGGAGAGAAGCAGGAGGGAAAGGTAAGCATAGGGTCCATAAACATGCCCATTGGGATTCTAACAATATACAACAAAAATAACAAAAAATGAGGCTTCTGTTGTAAATGAAAAACCTGGAAAGTCCTAATCATCTAAGATCTGGTGTCAGAGAAAATAAGCTACGAGTTTCCAAAAATATTAAATCAAGATATTGCCATCATCATTAAATCAACAAACAACAAGTGCTGGCGAGGATGGTGAGAAAAGGGAACCCTAGTGCACTGTTGGTGGGAATGCAGACTGGTGCAGCCACTGTAGGAAATCGGTGGAGTTTCTTCTGAAAGCTAAAGATGGAACTGACTTTCGATCAAGTGATCCCTCTGCTGGGACCATACCCTAAGAATCCTGAATCACCAATTCAAAAGAACCTGTGTAACACAATGTTCACAGCAGCAGTATTTACAATAGCCAAATGCTAGAAACAGCCTAAGGGCCCATCAGTAAATGAGTGGATCAAAAAACTGTGGTATATTTACACAATGGAATATTATGCAGCAGAAAAAAGAAGGAACTCCCACCCTTTGTGCACAGCATGGATGGAACTGGAGAGCATCATGCTAAGTGAAATAAGCCAGGCAGTGAAAGACAAACACCATATGATCTCACCTATGAGTGGAAGGTAATCAACATAAAAAACAAAAGAGCAAAATAGAACCAGAGACATGGAAATAAGGAAGAAACTGACAGTGACCAGGGGGGTGGGGGAGGGGTATAACAGGGGGAAGAAGGGTGGGGGACAAGCAAAGGAACAGGAATGGAGGACTCATGGACATGGAAAATGTGGGGGTTGACTGTGGGATGAGGGGGCGGGGTTGGGTTGAGCAAAGGGTAAAGGTGGGACAACAGTAACTGAGCAACAATAAATTTTAAAAAGATATTAAAAACAGATCTTGGAACTAAGTAAGACTTAAAATATTCAGATTGCCTTATAAGAAATCACTGATGGCCAGAGGAAGGGGGTGGGGCTGGGTGGCATTGGGCAAAGGGCGGGATGGGGACATCTGTAAAAGTGTCACTAATAAAAATGAAGATAAAAAATAAATGCAAAAAAATAAATTATTAGGATCTGTCTGTGCACTGCATGTGGAATGCTAGAGCACGCCAGAGTGCTCCTAGCACGTGTCTATTCCCAGGACGTGTTTTAATTATAGCAGAGAAGGAAGATTCACATGTTCTTGCCTCATGCAGAACCATGGTCCATACATGATGAGTCAGACATGCTAACGACAGTGACATGGTGGTCACTTTGTAATGTGTGCACATGTCAACATAACAAGTTTCCACATATGCCATTTCCATTAACACTGAACACAGAAAAACATATTTCAAAAAATAACAATGTAAGCAGAAATAAATTGAAAACAAACACTACAGAAAAATGAACAGAATTAAAAGGTGGTTCATGGAGGAAATTTACTAAAATTAAGAAATGTATCACGAGATTGCAGAAGAGAGTTCCAGCCCCGCACGGTGAAGAAACTGAACCAACCCTGTGAAAACAACCCTGTGAGCTGTGCACACGCGCCCAGCACCTGGCTCTGACTGCTGAGAGAGAAGGAGAATGCTGTGGGCTCTCTTCTCACAGTGGCTTCATTGGGGCGGGGGTGCAAATTGTCCGGATTACAACAAGGAAGAAAACACTCAAGCTGAAGACATCAGTCACACTGAACAGAAGGACAAACCCGGCGTTCTCAAACAGGCTGACATCACTGAACTTGGAGTGCAGAGAACCCAGTGGGAAGAGCTACAGAGGGAGAGAGCCCCACACACCTGCAGGCTGAACACATCACGCTTCAGAGCAGGGCAGAGCCCCGCCACAACGGGCAGGGAGTAACCCCTCCAGGAAGAACCAGCAGGAAACCATCAGTTTAAAGATTCCCAGGGCACCCCCCTCAACACTGGGAGATTTTCACATCAGATCAGTCAAATTGGAAGGACGTCTTTAAACACTGCCCATTTACTAGAGGGGCCAGAAGAGGCCTTCTTCAGCCACATTCCGAGTAACCTGGTCCTAGTGGACAGGCTGCCAAACCAGCTTTATCAGTTTAGAAACGAGCCTTGAGTGGGTCAAGTCAACCTGAACAACAGAAACCAAGTACAAAACCACTGAGCCTGGAGGTCTCGGACCCCAAACCTCCACCAGGTGCAGGACTGGGGAGGAGCTAACTCAGGGAGAGGAAGCTGTTGCTCCCAGGCCCTTCCACGCACCCAGTCCTGGATCTCTGTGCCCCTGGGGGCAGGGTGGGGGGGACCTGTCTGCCAGAGTCCGGACTCTCACCAAGCTGCCCTCATCCAGTGTCATGGCCAAAATCCATGCCATTGTGGGGAGACAATAGGAACAGCTAACATGCCACCCTGCTCTCCACTCTGTATTTAATTAGATGTTTCCTCTCTGCAGTCTTTGGGTGGTTTTCTAAATTAATGTCTACCAACAGGTGTCTTTATCATGCTATTGATATGTCAAGAAACTGGTGTTTCCACTTATACACACTTGAAAAAATAAAACCAAATGAGTCCTTTGACAAAACAAGAAGGTGATATAAGCATTTTGTCACAGAAATTACAGGTAAGTCTTAGAAGATCAAAAACAGTCTGGATCTCAGACCCGTTTTCTTACCGACACGGATGCATTTGGGAGGAGGGGACCAGCCATTCTCCATACACGTCATGGTGGTCTGCTGGTTTGGGAGACTGTAACCAGGATAGCAGGTGACTTTAATAGATTCTCCCTGTAAAGCTGTTTGTTTCCTCGAATAATATCCATTCTCCAAGTAATTGAAAATACATTTACCTAAGAATGATAAAATGATCATGAAAAAACCCCAACAATTTGGTCAAAATAATAAATTAAAATTTATCCTCATATTTAAATTAGAATGCATAAGCATCCAAAAATAACATAGAGAATAAGAAATACTAAAACTTCCACCAAATATTTTTTTAAAATATAATATTAAATATAATGATCTGCAGTTCACTATTATAATATGTACAAATGATATAGGTATACTTGCAGAGTCTATTTTTATCTCTCATGCTTTTAATGAAAAACCTCCAATAAAAGAAACAACGTACATTGTCTTCCTGCTCACAGAACTCAGCCCTCCCCCTTATGCTGGTCACACAGCTTCATCATTTTCTCAGGTGTGATTCCCCTCCTCTCTGAAGTGTCCCCATGGGCACAGGGAGGATGAGGTTTACTCACGGGAACATAGCACTTTAGGCGACCATCCGTCTGTTGTACAAGTAATTTTGCCCCAGTACTCTTGTGTAGGCGGCACATAGTCGCTATCACAGGAGTAGTGAAACGATCTTCCCACAGAAGCTGGGAAGTATCCTCTGTAATTGTCTGCCCAGTACAGTTTCCCATGCTTTATTTCTGGATATTCACATGGCTTAACTTGCAAGAAAAACAAACAAAAAACAATATAAATAATGTTTTCCTTTAATAGAATCTACTGAGAGATAAATGGTTTTGTTGATGAATTGTTATTAACATAGTTATACTCATTGCATTAGGGTTTCTAGGACAAGAAAGGTTGTAAACTCAGATGATGTAAAGAACACGTGTTTCTGGTCATTTCACGACATGTGCACACTCGGAGTCTGTCTGTTGTGCACCTGCAACAACACAGAGCTGCCTGTCAGTTCTGTCTAGGTGAGCACACGGACACTCTCCTTGTGGTGGTCACGCTCACTGAGGTCTGTGTCACTGTGATGCCAGCATCCTCTCAAAGGGCATCACACTGTCACATTCATGTGGACATTTGTCCTGAACTGACACTGAGGCCACTGACCTCCTATTAGCATCATTTCATGTTTCACTCATGGAGTGTCCTGCTGCAGCGTGGATGCCTCTACAGGGACCTGATACGTGAGCAAGAGGAACGTGAAGGTGGAGACGGACAGCTCTTGGAAAGAGGCCAAAGAAACCTCCCCAGAAGTAAATGCCCTGCTGAACTGAGTGGCACTTTGTGACATGTGATGGTGTCAGAAAACCAACTATATCTCCCACTCTCCTTCCTGAGAGAAGGAGCCCACTGCCCCCACCTTTGAGTGTGGGTGGACTTAGGGACCCTCTTCTAAAGGGTATAAACAGCTCAGATGACAATGTGTGAGCAGGTCATAGACTGCATGGAGGTGTCCTCCTTGTGTCTCAGATCACTTGCTCTGGGGACATTAGTGCCACTCAGGCTCCTATGGAGACACCAGGTGTTAAGGCCCTGAGGCCCCTGCACCACCAGGGAGGTGCCCACTTGGGAGCACGTCCCAGCTGCACCCAGCCCTCAGTCCACACTCTGGGCCAGTGTCCCAGTGCCGCCCAGAGAGTGACCAGGAACTGGGGGACTGGACCTGTCCCCAGGGCTGACCCTGTGACCCTGAATCAGCAGAGGGTGGTTGTTCGCAGTCAGTAACATTTGGGGTAAATTGGTTAGACAGCAGTAAATTACTAATATACTCGATGGTGAATGGTAGCATTCTTACCCAATGTTTTAATTCACATGTTAGAATATTAGTGAGAGAAATGCATATTCATACCCACACATATTTCACCCTGAGTACCAAAGATTAGAAGGGTTTCATTACAAAATATGTCATTTTGAACTTCATTTGAAGAGGCTACATTGAAAAGCCAAGCATGCCTCCGCATGCCCTGCTTTACACTCTCAGTAAGGCAAGCCGGGGGGCCCATTCGGTCCCCATTGCACTGGTGTTCACCAGAAGTCAGTGCGGAATTAGGATCCGGTCCCGGTGTGCTCGGAACTTACAGCTGCACCTTGGAGGAGGTTCCCAGCCGGTAGTGGTGCATTCTGACGTGCTGCCTCGGGCTGAGTGATAAAAGCCGCTTTTACACTGGTACGTGAGTCTATGCCCAAGTGTGTATGAGGTCCTGTCGGGAGTGTAGTGGCTGTTGGCAATAGTTGGAGGATCACATGTCACTTCTGAAAAGAAAAAGGACAGGTGGCTAATGCAGAAATCGCT